GGTGGAACCAGGGATTGAACTCAGGCCCTTGCACTTGCCAGGCAAGCACTTATTCTACTGAGCCATCTCCCTGGCCCTATTTATTCTTAAAGACATAAGATATCTTTGGGCTCCCCATTCTCCCTTTTTAAAGTTTCAATTGAACTTATTGGAGCACACATTTCTGTTGTTCCTAGATTCTGTCACTTTTATGTTATTTTTTGTGCCATTTATTTGAGTAGCTCTGACCTACATTTTTCTTTTCTTTGTTCCTTGAAAAAAAAAAAAGAGGGGAAAAAAGCTGATATCTTTCTAGGGAAGCTAAAAAAACCCCACTTATGTGACCAATATGTTTCCCAAACCTCACATGAGATGAAGGGAACACCCTAGATTATTACAACCCAATCCTGCACCAGTCATAAAGCCAGATCCTTGGGGATGCTGCTTATTGTAGGCCCCCCTCAACACAAAATAAAACAGACCCCCAAAAACAAAGGATTCTTATATCTAAACTGAAACACAATTCCAACAAAATTATCATTCTGGAACTTTAGAATGTCCTCACCACATCAACTTTTGTTGTAAATTCTAAAATAAATTTTTTTGAAAGCATGGAGATAATAAATTAAGGCCAGACAAATTCTCATACTGTTTCTCATAAGACTTCCAAATCTCAGTGGCACCTCCCACCTCTTCCTGTTTGCTCCTTATGTGGGTCCGCAGTTGTGAGTGGCTCCCAGCTGTGCTGCCTTTGTTATTATTAGGGCTGTGATGACTATTATCATTTATTAGCACACTCTATTATTTTTCTCCTCAAAATGTGTCATTTGAGCATTACAAACAATCAATTATTTTGTGACCAATGCTTTGGCTATTACTGTTGCATTCAGCCTTTCATTCTTGGAAAAATGAGGTGTTCATTTCACTTTTTTCATTCATCTCCCCTTTTAGAAGAAGGAGGTCAATCTTAAAACCATTTAATGCACAGGCTGGTTTGGAAAGAAGAAATAAATACTGGAGCAGTCCTAGCAAAAATAGACATGAATTTGGAAGATGTGGTATTGTAAATTGCTTAGGCATAGTTTTGAGAGCTCCTGGAGTAAAAGTGAAAGAAAGCAATTTTGCGTGAGGGGGACTCTGGTTCCATTGAAGTAAAAGAGAAAGACAAGGGAGATGAGAGAAGTGCTTTTGTGCAGCCACTTGATTTTGTACAGAGCAGGGAAATTATCTACTCTTTGCACCTCCCCCATTGCCATATGCTTCCTTAAAATTTCCTTTTTCCATACTTGAAAGGACCAGGGTTTAATCATATTCATACATTTGAAGTGCTAGGCTAGCATCCTCTGTTACTGCATTTATCTTACAGAGTAATATGAAAAAATCCAAGTTATATGATAAGGTGAATAATAACAGAATGATGATTATTTAAGGAAGTAAAGTATTAGGTAGTTTTTTTTGTTTGTTTGTTTGTTTTTTTAAGGCAGTTGAGCTTAAATAAATTGAGATGATGGAGGAGAGGAAAAATGTAGAGACTGAATTACAGGCCAGTCTACCTCAGAGCCTACCCTGAGAAAATGTAGTAGATTTCACCAGCAGAACACTAAACTGTAGATGCTCCAGGGGCCTGCATGCCACTGAAAGTTCAAACTTACTTTGGATGTCCAGAAATCAGACATTGTAGTAAAAAAGCTTGCTTCAGAATCTCTTATTCCTACAAGCCTCCTATAGAAACTTCTTGTTGGCTTTCTTTTCTTTTTTAATTTTTATTTATGTGTGTGTGTGTGTGTGTGTGTGTGTGTGTGTGTGTGTGTGTGGCCAGCTCAGCCCACCAGGGGGCAGGGCTGGCTGGCAAGTGGTGCTGGGGGATTGAACCGAGGTCTCTGTGCTTTGCTAAGCTTGTTCTAAGTAGGTGCTTTAGACCACTGAGCCATCTCACCAGCCCCTCTTGTTGGCTTTCTCAGTAGCCATTGTTGGAGTGGGGGAAGAATAGGAAGAGGAATCGTGCCCTGACTCCCACTATGGCACCATGGAACCCAGTCACGCCCCTGATCTTGTTTTCCACAGGAACCCATCTTCTTCCGAATTGTGGAAGTAACATGGGCTGAATAGGCTTGGCAATAAGCAGAGCTTTATCAAAATCATGCTATTGTCCAGTCTTGGAAATACCTTTAACATCCATTTCCTTACTCAAAAAAACAAGTTTCATGTTGATGGTTTGGGTTCTAAGTTAGAAAGAATGTGCATAGAGGGACTGATGCACAGTACTCATCAGTAAGTATAATGCATCCAGCAATTCTAACCACAAAACCCAGAGTCAGCAATGTCCGCTTCCACCAATCAGTTTTGGTTTCAAGACTGCTCTTTGCCCAAGGAACTGATACTCACATTGGAACTAGCTAGCTGGCTTCTGCCCTCCCTACCTTCTTCACTTTTGCAGCTTCATATCATGTGGCAGTCACTGTCCATTTGTTCTATCTTCTCAGAGCACATGGAGAAAGTACATGGGACAGGGAGGGCTAGAGCTCCGCAGCACCCACGCAATAGCAAAGGCCTGATCTGTGGTCCCCCTCATCTTTCCACCACCCTTTCAGGCAGTTCCCAACAGCCATGAAGGTTTCTGGGCCCACAGTACCCCCTGATGGCTGTCACGGGAACTTTCTTTCCCCAAAGATTCCTATCTTTTTCAATGAGGCATCCCTCTGTCTTAGGTCACTGTGCTGTTGATTCTATCATAAACCATTCATCTTTCCCAAACTTTCTGCAGCTTTTCTTGCCTTGTTTGTGTCTTTTTTTTCTTTATAATTTCCTGCTCAGTTATCTCATGGACTCTCTTTTCCTTTTCTTTACCTCATTTTTTCCATATGCAAATAAATGAATCTCCAAATTACTGTGATTTAAGTTTGAAGTGAAATCGTAGGACGTGTCTATCTTAAAGAAAAAGAAGCCTCACGTATTTAGAAGGAAGATGTAGTGTAATCCAGCAGCACTAATATCTTGAGTCTTGAGAATTCAACTGCCTTCTTTAGGACTTGCACAAAGAGGCCATCTCTTCCCTCACCTTTCTCCAAGGATTAAGATCTTTGCTGGATTATCATCCTATTTATTCAATTGCCAACACTGTATCAGTTTGACTGACACCATTTCACTGCAAATACAATCCTAGTACAGTAAGGGTTAAGTGCATTCCTGTAGGTTACTCTGGAAGTGAAGATATACTCTTTCAGCCAGTTCTCTAAGGGAAAATGAATTCAAAGCTCCCAACAAGTGTTTTAGAGAAAACCTTGGAAAACATTACGTATTGTAATTTAGCACTGGAAATTTTTGATTGGGAGTGGTCAGTTTTTAAGAATTCATTTGGATGCCTGGATTCTCTGGTTTGTATCTACTGAGCCAGGTTGTCTCCTGGGTTTAGCACCACAAAGGTATTTATTGTATTTAGGTATCTCTTAGCCAGGTGCATATTGATTCTTTATCAAACAAAAAATATGCTAAGCAGATCTTGATTTGGTGTGTTGTGGAATTTCCTAGAAGGCTATTAAATTCATTTCCAGGGCTACATGTTACTTCTCGGAGAAACACATTTCTCATGAATGCTTCTTTTCCTGAATGTAAATTCCAGTAATACCAATGATGTGTGTTTTATGTATCAATGTCTGAGTCTAAAACACTTTTTAAAGAAGAAATAATTAGGCCAAGAATGATTACAATGCCATTGAATAATTTTTCCAATTTATGCAATTTATTTTTATTTATTTATTTATTTTATTTGTGGAATGGGGGATTGAACTCAGGCCCTTGCACTTGCCAGGGAAGCACTTATGAAATTTATTTTTAAACTGGAAAGTATCTCCAGTCCTGATAAAACAATTAATTAAAGGCTTTCTGTTACAAAAGAACAATAAAAACTTAATTTTCCTATTGTTAAATTTAAAACTAAAAGCTGATAAAACATAAAATATCTGAGTCATGTAATGAAAGAACAAATAAACTATTGTGATCATATATAGATAGGTATGAAAAATAAAAATTTTAAATGCTTTTATAAAAGACTTTCTTAATTTGGGCATAATTCAAGGTAATACTTGCACGGAATTTAACTTCTATATTCATAGAAAACAAGTGCATAGTACCTGAGCAAAGTTCATCAAAATGCTTGTGAAATTGGACATTTTACATACATTCTAAACACACATGAAGATAACAAAAATTAAGAACAATATCAAGAAATAGTTGTGCAGTACATTAGATATTTCAAGTGAACATCAAAGACTGTTATTTGAGTTGACACATTCACATGTATCTGGGAAGAGGTATTTTCTTTCTGATAATATATATCATTTGAATTCATAAAATTTTAGTGCTATAGATTAAAAATTCAGTGTTAGTGTTTTCAAAAGCATTAAATTTAAATTATTTTCTCAGGATCCAAAGAAAAACACCAGAGGAAACATAACCAGACTGAATTGTTTAAAACGTATTTTCCCTTTAATTAAATAAGAAACATCTGTCTAGGGATCTTGGAAATGAATGTAATCCATGCACACGCTGACTGTACTAGTTTGCATCCGATTTCCAATATTTTGAAAGAAAATTCTTTCTTCCTGTAAAGAATTAAATAGCAACACAGGGTGACAGTGAGGTCTGCTGCACTATCTCTTCCCTCTGGAGTTTGGGAAGTGGAGACGCTAAGAAACTCTTTTCACACATCTCTCCCAGTGGAATGATCAAATTCTGTCCAAGTCAAGGGTAAAAACACAGAACTTCTGTATTTTTCCAAAGCATACCCTCACCCTCCAAACGCTCACCTCTGGCCAGTAAGGAAAGAAGTCGAATGGATGCCCTTAATACTCAGAGTGGAAATTCATTACTCTTTCTTGGGGTTCACTAGACATGTTGACTTAAGGTTGAGCAACCCGAACATGTCAACAGGCAAACCGAGCACAAAGGAGGTGGGAAGTTAACTCCAGGGTGGTTCTAGTCCTTTCAAACCTAGCCCGAGGTCCCCAACAAGCATCACTTACTGGTGGTGTCAAAAGGTATCTGCTTGCACGGTGCAGACCCCTCAGCGGGCCACGGACAGTAGTACACGGCTCCCCCTTCCATGATATCCGGCTGGCTGGTGTTGGCTTTGGGCGCCCCGACCAAGACACTAGCTCTGTGAAAGGGTTGGCGAAAGTCACTGCTTGGGGGTCATAAAAGTGTGGGCGAGCAACGCAGTTAGCAGCGGGAGCTGGAGGGTACCGTTATTCGCGATGGGGAAACTGTGGGACTTAATGTGCTCTTGGGAAACCCAGGTCTTCTCTAGGTGGAGCTGTGTGCGTACCCTGAGACCAGAAGGAAGACAGAACCCAGCTGCTTGCAGCCCGCGGCACTTGTGCCCAGATCCTGAATTGTTACAGGCTCTGTGTAAACAGACCGCGTTGTGGTCGGTGCCGTAACCGGGTTGAGTCTGTGAGGTCCCCTGGTCTTCCCGTGTAGAGGCACAACCTTTGCAAGTGGGATTTCACGCAAGAAGCACGTCTAGTTCAAAGTTCCTAAATCACCTCCAGTTTGCACCGAGAGAGGCGAGGCCGGTGGCGCGTGCGGAACGGAACCGGACCCCGCGCGGGCAGCGGGAATGAACCCCAGGCTACGGGGACCCGCGGGACACGCTGAGCGCGGGTCGCGAGTGACTTACGTGCGAGCGTCAGGAAGGTGGAAGTCCAGCGCATAGCCGAAGTAGCTTCCCTCGGGGCCGCTGTACACCGTGACCGCGTCCACGTCCAGGTTGAACGCTTGCGACCCTGGGAACGACCCTGGGAAGCACAGCATCCCCAGCGCGGCCAAGAAGCACCACAGGGGCGCGAGCGGCTGCGTCCCGGCACACATCGCCCTGCGCCCCGGCGGCCACCCGCGCGGTGACAGTGCCCTGTCTGGTCCTGGTCGCGCTGCTGCCCAGTGAGCGGATGGCGCTGGGGGAGGTGGGGACCGGCGCGTTCGCCACCCTGCGGAGCGGGCGGGGACGGAGGGTGCGCGGCGCCTCCTGGCGGCCGTTCCGGGTGAGACTGCTGTGTGTCGGTCTGCTGCTGGGGCAGCTCAGGAACCTTGAGTCTGGTTTCGCCACCTCAAGCCATTGTTTTCAGAAGCAAAGTCCCACAAGGGGGCGAGAGCTTGCTTATTTCCCGCAAGCTGAATAGAAGAAGGAGAAAATGTACCTTATACACCGAACTCCTGGCCGGGTCAGGCAGATAGAGTCCTCCTCTTATCATCTCGGGATCCTGTGGACCATTCCTCTGGGGCTGGGAAAAAAGTAAGGGCAACAATTTTTTCCTCCAACTTTGCTCCACTTCTCTGCAAGGCAACTGAAAGACAAAGCCTTGAGATTTTATTTAGGTCTTTCTCACGCGTGCCCCCGGGCACTTGCAATGACTACGTAGAAAATTTTCTCCTCCCTATGTGAGTGTAAAGATTGACAAAGTTAGGGATGAGACAATGTACAGGTTATCCGAAGCGAAGCTGGAGTAGAAGGTGTAGGGTTTTTCCAAATCTGGGTGTTAGTTACTGAACTCTTTCCATGTCCTCTGCCTGGAAAGGAAGGGAGGCACTAGCAGGTGGAGGAGGAAGAGAAATACAGTCCTGGGGCCCTTGCATAGTACTCCCAGACACACAGGACCTATGCTAGGATGTTAAATAGAAAAGGAGTTGAAAAAGGATTTCTGAGGTGTTTAAAGGAGATTTGGCCACAGATGTATACTTAGATGAGAATGTACATAGTACAGTTGATTGGGGCATTGTGGAAAGGGCAGGAAGGGACAATATTAAATACACAGAGGCTGGGATTAAATGGTTGTGCACAGGGTTGAGATAAATGGAACAGGCTAAGAAGACTTGGGAAATAAGGCTGGATGACTCTACTGAGGGTAAGGATTCAAGGTATAGATACAGATCTAATAAAAAAAATTTATTGAAGTATGGGGAGCCACTTTTAGAGCAGAGACATGAGGTGTCTACAGGGATTCCAAAAGTTTAGAGGCAAGTGGGGTGTGTGTGTGTGTGTGTGTGTGTGTGTGTGTGTGCGTGTGTCAGGAGAAAAAGCAAAGAAGCTTTAGCCAGTTGCACAAAAGAACATAGATCCCATCCTAGTTAACAGAAGGATGAGCCCAACACAACTAATACAAATATTAAGGGAAAGACAAAAGATCAAGGAATAGATGGCAGGAAGGAAGGATCCGAGGTGTCTCTAACAGTATCTCTTCACAAAGAAAGAGAAACAAACAGTAATAAAGAGGTAAGGGGAGCAGTGTGGGAAAAGATGGTGTGTTCCATGCTGGAAATGAATGTGTTACAGGCATCAAATGTATACTGAGGGACTGTCCTTCCATTGGTAGAGATTTGGGAAACTATTTGAAAAAAAATCTCTGAGCCCAGGGAAAAAAATCAGAATTTCCCATCTCCTTTCCATCAGAACCCACTTGATAGACTGATTTTTTTCCTTTTCTTTTTTGTTTTTGTTTTTCTTTCTTTCTTTCTTTTTCTTTTTTTTTTTTTTTTGAAATATTAGGGAAGGGTCTACAGGGTGTTTAGCCTACTAGATCCTACTCATAGTAATTAGCCTGTTTACAGCCTCCCAAGAGCTAGGATTACAGGAGTGTGCCACCACACTTAGTCTCAATTGCTGTCTCAGTGCACCCCGGGATCGAACCCAGGGCCCCTGTGCCTGGCTGGCCCTTGACAGACTGATTTGAATATTCTGTCTTCACCTTCTTGTCCTTGTAAAACGTCAAAATATCAACATTCAGAAGAATACCTCACCAATTGCTCCATATGGATAATTTTCTTTTCTCAGCTAAGGAGTTAAGAGTAGACACATTCTGCTGGACACAGAGTCTACTCTAGTCAAGTTACTATGTAAACAAAAAGTGGCAATTTCCCAAAGCAAATTTCAAAGGGGAATTCATATTAGAATGCATATGGGAATGTTCCAAGCTGTTGTCACCTCCAAGGTTAGGGAATAACCTCAAGTTATCCGTTTCCTGAGTCTGGTATGCTGAAATCTGTCCCTTGCAGGCAAGTCTTAGGTTGATGCATAGCATCTAAGAGGTTAGAAAGTAGCCATGTGATCTTAGATTGCACCTGACTTATGTACTAACTTTATGGGCAGAACTAGCTATGTCAGCACAAAGCCTTGGTTCACATAGGGCAGCACATCACCAGGGCATCTCCTGCTGTACCCACTTTGTTATATGCTTGCCATAGTGCTCGCCTTTCTATCTTTTTGTTGAAGACATGAAGGAAAAAATTGAGTTATTATCACTTATGTGGATGTAATCTTATTCCTTTCATCTAAAACTCACTTGCTTTTGGCTTCCACAAGCCAATCTTCTTCATAGTATCACTTTCCTCTTTGCAGATGAAAACTCAGATTAGCATCTGAGATGTGCACACAATATGCATGTTCACAAAGAAAGGTAGTGGTAGGGTTTGAACCAGGCCTATGTCTAGAAGTGATGTCTAGAAGTGATGCTTGTGAGATTCCATACAACAGCTGTGTGTTTTAGAAAAAAAAATTGGTGACACCTTCTTATTGAAAGGGTGGAGAGAAAGCAAACTTACTCAGCTCTGTGACCTTCTGGGAGGCCAAATGCCTGAGAGAGCAGTAAATCTTACAAGAAGCCAAAAAAAAAAAAAAAAGGAAAGCCTTCAATAATTGTAGGGAAGGGCTAAGTCTGAATAGGTGTCTTGTACATTTCAGCATTCTGACATGTGGGAACCATGCCAATCTGCAAGATCTGGGGTACTGTCAAAGATGTATTTTGACAGTGACAGGTTTCACACTGAATGAGAAGTTTGACATTTTAAAGATCTACAGGCACTGATTTATTTGTCAGGAAAGCAAGTCTGGGAATTGTTTATCATGCATGAGAGTACATGTGTACATTTAAGAGTGAGAAAGGTATACATAGTTGTTTCCCTAAAGAGAAAAGAACTCAAAGGTCAAAGATGGAACAGATTTGGCCTAAACATTCCAAAAATAAACAAGTAAAGAGTACCAGAGGAAAAAGTGATCATGGAGTTGTAGCCATGTACGAAGTGCTTAAAAATAGAGAAGCTCTAGCATTTAACCAGTTAGTGCATGCTTCCTAACCAAACACATTCACAACTGAACAAGCAACTATTGCTTCTGATTAGGTTTAAGCCTATTTCTTTATGTGATGCAATGCGATGCCTTGAAATCCGGAAGTATTAGATCCTCACATGATCATTTCATTAATGCAATCACATATACAGTATGTTGAAAAACCATTTATGAAATAAGTCAATGTAAATACAAAGTTTACTCAATGGCTCTCTTGCCATTGTGTGCAAATACCCCATTTTTTTATCCAGTCATCTGCTACTCTGCCATAGAAGCTTAAACTGGAATCATTTTAGGAAAATGTTTGATGCACCTAGACATGATATGTTAGATGAATAAATCAGATGGACAAACTTAAAGATTGCATTGTTTCTTTCCTATGAGAAGAAACCCAAAATATGAATAAAGAATAAAATAAAATAGAGAATAGGAATGAGAGAGGCAGGACTCTTTCAACTGGGAAGGAAACTAAGAGATGGAGGGAGAGAGAAGTAAGGAATGAAAAGAGAATTAAGGTGTGTTACACACAACTGTCCACTTCCCAGAGTGAGTGTAGTCATTACCTACTGCAAACAGGTGCTAACAAAAAATGCACCAGACAGAGAAAGTAAGTTTCCAGTCTTTTCTTATAATTTGGTCATTTCAGTTAGCTTCAAATTTTTCTTTTGCCCAACATTTCTCAGTTTTCTTGCAATGTCAAAAACTAAAGATTGCCAGAAACTGGCTAGTACAACCTACAAAAAGGAGGCAACTTTGAAATCCATCAAGTTCTCTGCTGACTTTAGCTTATGTCTGCACATTTTCTATTCTTGTCTCTGGAGGGTGAGTTTCATCATAGTCAAATCATTTTTTTTTCTTTTTTGATGATTTTTGTTTGTAATTCTCTTTTATGATTTTCCTTCATGATTTTATTAGCCACTTTTAAGTTAAAAGTGCTGCAGCGAGCAATGTCGCCTCTATTGGCTGCAGTTCAAGCTCAGCCTTTAGAGGAAGGAAAATTCCCACTAGTCAGAACCAGACTCCAACTTGATCTCCTTTTAGAACAAGTCTTTAAAAACAGACTTGCTTTATACAAAAATAAAAATTAGGAAAACAATTTTTCCTCTAAAGGGAAGGTAACAGGGGAAAACCATGTTCTTTCTGAGTATTGATATTGTGGACAATTTTTCTGAAGAAACCAAAGCCTGGAGAGAGTCAAAACCTTAAAGGAGGGTTGTTTGACTCCAGAATTCTGAAACTTCTATGAAGGCATGGTGGGAGAGGCTCTTTTGCTAATTATTGTCCAAGTGAACTAAAAGCAACATGTGGGGAACAGGAAGGGATTCACTGCATCTGAGCTGTAAATTTAGTTTGACAATTGGAAAGTCTCACTCTTCCAGTGATTTGTATTTGAGTTCAATGCAAAAAAGAAAAGAAAAAGAAAAAAGAGAAAAAGAAAAGAAAAAAAAATAATAGTCTCTAAATCTTTAAGTGGTAGCTTGAAAGACAGTACCACTCTGGTGCTTAGAAATGAGGGCATTTAAAATGGGAACCAAGAATTTCCCCCACCACCACTAATGCCCACACCAGAAGGCAGAGTGTGCTCTGAGGCACAGCGCTGCAGGACCCATATAGATACCCCACAAAGGCACCAGCTGTGGACATGGAGGTGGGGGCAGCCAGATGTTTCTTCAGGCAACTTTTGGGAGAGGTTGCAGGAGTTAGGTGATATAACCAAGGTCTCCTACTTGGAGGAAGTCATGGATGAAGTCACAGAGGGAGTCATCCAACCACAGATAGGGGTGAGGTCAGAAGCATTAGATAAAGTGAATGTGTGTGTTTGAAATCC